ACGCATGCAAGCATTCATTCCTATGTCTCGTGGCCCAGGAGGTTTCATTTCTCCACGCACAGGATGCAGAGGCCCGGCCAGGCGCGGCCATTCCTACTCTGGACCATCCCTTGCACCAGGACCCTGTTCTGGTTTCCCAGCTGCTGGTCCTTGCAATGCAAATCGGAACTTCTTCCGTGAACTTCTGCCCAGACTGGCAGAGACTTCAGGCTGGAAATGTTTCCTACCCACAACGCGAGCAAAAAAAAAAAAAAAGAGCCACATACTGTGTTGGAGGGGAAGAGCCTGCAGCTTGGCTGAACCTCGGGGGGGGGGGGTGTTCCTCATGCCTGCCGGGGAGGGCTCTGCACAGAGGGCAGGCTCTGCAGCAGCTGGCGTGATGCTGCTGTGACCGCCACGAGTGGCGCTGATGGTGACGGGTTTGGCGAGCCTGGCACTGACGGGGCGATTCAGCTGCCTGGGCTTTGTAGTAACGCCCCCCTGGCTCCCTGCGACCTCAGACTAGTGGCCGTGACACACAGTCCTGTCGCACTGCAGACGGACTTGGAGCTCAGCGCCAGTGCAAGCTGTGCCATCAACTAGCTGGGCAGCCGGAGCAGAACAAAGCAACCCCTCTGAACCGTGAAAGTGTCATTGCCGTCACTCGTACCGTCCTCACAGCCACCCACAAGGTGGGGACTGGCCCAGCCGGGAAGAGGCACAGAGAGAGATGTGAAGTCACCCAGACCAGGCAAGACTGTGAGTGGGGGGCCTGCCCGACCCCCACTCTACAGCCTCCGTCATCTGGCACTGCCTGCAGTGTGAAGCAGGTGCTCAGCTAGTCCAGGCCTCTGTGCCCTCGTCCCTGGGTTCATAAGCATTGTCGTGGGCCCCCTTGATTGCACCTGTAAGTAGGACAAAGGTCCCCAGGTACTCTTCCTTGTGAACTGCCGCAATGTGCTACAAACCGTGGCCGGTGTGGAGCCTCCTTTGTTTGCAAGCCCCATGTGCAGCCCCCGAGCAGTGGAGAAGCCCTGGGCTCCTGAACCTCTCCCCTCCACTCTTGCTTTGTCCCCCAGCACCGGGGTGGGAAGGAAGGACCCCTTGCAGGGTATGTGTAGGTGGCCAGGAGTGGAGCCGCCCCGCCTGGTCATATGCAGCCATCACTTTTCCTACAGGCAAGAAATAGGAGCCCGTGCATAGCTTGGAAACCACTCGCCCTAGGAATTTTGCTCTCAGAAATGTCTAAACGGACCTACAAATTATGTGGTAAAGCAGCGGACAGCGAGGGAGCCATCATCAGGCAGCAGCCTCAGAATATCAAGTTGGGAACGATTGTGAAATAAAAAACGAACAGAGGGAGGTTTGTCTCCGTGTGGGCTGCTGGTAAAATCATTCTTTCACACAGAATTGCGAGTTCTTCTCCCTGCACCCACCGCCCAAAATGCAGCTGTGCTGCTCCGAGAACTTACACAACAAAACAAAACAAAAGAGAGGCGTCTTGGAGTGAAACAAGACGTCTGATTTCAGAACCCAAAGGAGAAAGAATGAACTAAATGAATGATGGGAAAAACATAAATGAACAATTTCCAGCCTTAAAAAAAAAAAGCCACCCAGCATTCCTTCCGTAGGGCAGGTGCTGCCGGCCGGTGGTGCGGTACACGAGTGGAATAGGACTCTCATCCCAGAAGCCACTGCCCTGTGACTTCCCTGGGGGCGGGGCTGGGAGCAGGCAGTCAGCGGGCGGCGATGTGGGCTTTGCCCCCTCTGCTCGCAATGCTGCCAAACCGGGTATCCAGCGGATCTCCCAGCCTGGCTCTCCGCCCCTGTGTGGGAGGCCGAACACAGCCTCCCTGCCCTGCTGCCGGGAGCAGAAGTGGCCCATGCGCGGCCCCGCCAAACCCGCGCCCACAGCTTTCTCCAGGAGCAGCCGCTGGCCCCTGAGCGGATGTCTCTGTGCAGCCCAGGGCCAGTACACACAGAAGAATGTGGAACCAGTTTGGGCCAGCTCCACCCACAACTGTTGGTGAATATTTGTGAGTGGCCAGAGGGAAGAAGCCTGGGGTCCATTGTCTGTCCGGAGAGGCCCAGCCACAGGCCTGCTCCAGTGGACTCAGCTACAGTGAAAGATGTGCTGGTGATTCAGCCCCAGGGGCTGGGTCCCAAGGTGAATGGCAGAGAGGCAGGAGGGGCTGCAGTGGGCGTGGTTAAAGTGGACAGGCTGGGCATGGAGGCCCTCCACTGTGCCACTTCACCTCACACAGCCTCCGCCGGCTTCCCCTGCGCCCAGAAGTCAGTCCCAGCCAGCGCTCGCCTGACAGCTAATCAAGCCCTCGTGCAGGAGAGAGGACGGGGGAGCAGGGAGAGAGGCTCAGTGCCCTTGGCTTCCATGGTGTCTGGGCCTTCCTGCCCTCCCACGGTCACCGGCCGACCCCATCTGCCATTTGCCGTTGTGACCCCAGTAGTCTCGCCACCCAGTCTGGAGGGCACCCTTGAAGGTGGGCCCCCAGCTTCTCCATGAACGCAGAGGAGCTGCACCAGCCAGAGTGAGCTGAGACCCTCCCTAGCGCCCAGTGGCCTGGCACATTCATGGTCTCTGCCGTGTGGCCAGGCCTGGCCGGCTCCGAGGTCTTCTGACTCAGGCAGGCGTGGAATTCCAGGTCCTGCTAAACTTCCAGGAACAAAGAGCCAGAGCTCTGCAAGACCTGAGTTCTGCCCGAGCCCTTGACCCCCAGCCGGGTAGAAACGACTTCCTCCCTGCTCCAGACGGACAGAAGTCGTCTCCTCTTGGGAGGGGAGTGGTGCTGGGCAGAGAGAGGGAAACCCCGCACAGGGCAAGGGGGAAGCCGGACAGCGTCAGGACGGATGCTGGGAAGGGCTCCGTGGGCCTTCCTTGAGCTGCAGCCGCAGGCACCACAACAATTCTAAATAAGGATGACGAGAGTTGTGCGAATCGGGCGCTATCTGCCAGGGAGTTTCCAAGATTCCTCCGTGTGCTGACAAAATAGCTCACAATCAGAGAACAAAGAGAGTGGAGGGGAAAGGGCCAATTAGTTGCAAGTCATTGAAAAATTAAAGGAGAGAGGATTCCCCAAAAGCAGCAGGCGCGTGGCGCCCTGGGGAGTTTTCTGCCCGTGTGCTCTCCCAGCGGTGGGCTCGTTCGCGCTCCTCCGAATGAGGGCCGCGCCTTCCGGCCTTGCTGTCTGGGGTTGGGGCTGGGAAGCAGGAGCCTGGCTGGTGATTGAAGCCCTGGATGGAACCTGCCTCATGGCCCCTGTCTGCCAGTGCAGCCCTACTCTGCCATGGGGGGCTGGTGCTAGTGGGCCTGCTGGTGAGGGGAGGGGCCCAGGAACGACTTCAGAACCCAGCCAGGTGCAGCCTGCAAGACAGGCAGGAGCCACCCTGGGCTCCCCGGTCAGCGGTGTCCATTCTGTGCACCCGGCCCTTCAGGGGGATTTTTATGCTGAGTCTGAAATGACTCAAATAAATGCAGACTACTAAGCACCTTGGCCACTCTATAAAAAGGCCATTGGCAGGAGACTGTGGAAGTGGGAAGGAGACAGAGGGAGACAGAGTCAGGACAGCTCCGACCAAGTCCCAGCACTGGCCATTGAAGGCATCTGGGGAGTGAACCAGCTGATGGAAGCTCACTCCCTCTCTCTCTGAAAAAATAATAATAATAAAAAAATCACTTCCATATAGAAAAGCACAAATAAAAAGAAGAAAAGTCCACATCTCACCTCCCAGAGATAACCACAGTTAGCATTTAGTGTGTATCTGTCCAGATTGTTCTCTGTATATAAATACCTGCCTTAAAAGATGACACCGTACTTCCGGGAACAAGAGGGCGTTCTTTTGCCACATCCCTAATTACTCGACATTCGGTTTTGCTGCAACGATCTTTGTGCCTAAATCCTTGTGCACACTTTGGCTGATGTCCTTTGGGTAGATTGCCACAGATATAATTGTAAGTTCTGGGGGCCAGCGCTGTGGCATAGTAGGCTAAGCCTCCGCCTGTGGGGTCAGCATCCCGTATGGGTGCCAGTTCGTGTCCCAGCTGCTCGTCTTCCAATCCTGCTGTCTGTGTATGGCCTGGGAAGGCAGTAGAGGATGGCCTAAGTGCTTGGGCCCCTGCATCCGCTTGGGAGACCCAGAGGAGGCTCCTGGCTTCAGATCAGCCTGGCTCCTACTGTCGTGGCCATTTGGGGAGTGAAGCGGAGGATGGGAAGACCTTTCTCTCTGTCTCTCCATCTCTCTGTCTGTAACTCTGCCTCTCAAATAAATAAATAAATACAATCTTAAAACGAACTGTGAGCTCTGTTGAATTGGGGCCCTCCCTAAGGCCTCACTCAGTCACCCCTTTGAAGGTCCGATCTCCAAATGAGGTGCTGAGGCACTGGAAGTCCGGGCTCCAGCCTATGGTGTTTGTTGTCGAGGAAGGGGGCACGTGTTTCCACCCATAACAACTTCAGATAGCATATTTAATTAGTGGGTTTGGGCTGACAGTGTCACCCTGCGAAAAACAAACAGAAATAGTTGTGACACAACTTTTGGAAAAAGCATCATGGGCAACGGGTCGCTAACAGGGCAGTCCTGGGAAGCAGCTCTGGGTCTGTATCTCTGCTAGACCGTGCCCGGCGGGGGTCTGGAAGGTTCACGCATTTGGCAGCAGCTGTTCCCCGAGGGTGGCGTTGGTGCCTGGACAGAGCAAGAGTGTTCACTGCCTACCCTGTTGGAGGTTTGCAATTTTGCTCCATGTGTACGTGTATCCATGCATATTCTAATAAGTGAATAGAGCATTGCTTTTAGGTGAAGGATGGCAAGGATGTAAGTCGTCTCCCTGGCTCCCCTTGGCCGTATCCCCAAGGCCCTGTGACAGGGCGTGGCGCACAGGAGGGTCAGTGTCTGTTGGAAGTGTGAACACGGGGAGAAGGCGATGACTTCCTGTCCTAGTGTTGGGACGCATGGACCCTGAGCGGCTCACCGAGTGACCCCCATCTGTCTTTCCCCTTGGGTTGCAGACGGCAGCAGAGACCGCCAGGAGGGAACAAGCCCCAGCAGCACGGTGACCACCAGCCTGGCAGCACCAAACACAACAGGGACCACCAGAAATCCTACCAGGGGGGCTCGGTGCCCCACCCCTCAGGGAGGCCCACGCACCACGGCTACAGCCAGAACCGGCGCTGGCACCACAGCAACATGAAGCACCCGCCAGGAGACAAGGGGGAGGCGGGTACCCACCGCAATGCCAAAGACACCGTGGCCATCGAGAGCCCCAGACTCGAGGACAGCCTGGGAGACCCCGAGCCTCCCCGCAGCCCGGACGGCCCGGCCCCCACGGCCCCCGGGGGCCTGCCTGCCCAGCAGCCAGGGGGCCCAGAGGCCGAGAGCCGGCGGAAAGACAGCGCTCTTGCCGAGCGCAGCGGGGAGCGGCCCAGAGTCACCCTGCTCCAGTCTTCCAAAGACAGGCTGCGGCGGAGGCTGAAGGAAAAGGTACCGGTAATTACGTTTCTGTTGTCTCCCGCGGCGGGGAGGACGGCCGAGAGGTAGGCGCTTGGGCATGGGGCTCGGGCCCAGCCCCGTGGGTCGGAGGGTCTGGCCGGCTGCATGGACCTAAGTAGGGGCTTCAGGGTCTGCATGGACCCAACACGCCATGCGCCGTGGCTTTGTGCATGAATGCTTCTAGCACATTCTGCTCCTCACTGCCTGGCCCAAGGTGCACCCTTGGTTCCAGGCCCCAGGAGACAGGAGGGGAGGAAGAGGCCCAAGTCTGGGGGTGATGGGAGGGAGACGGGGAGCAGTTTCGGGGTCAGATGGTGCCCTGGGGGAGCTCAAGGGCCTGGTGGTGAAATCAGCAGGCCGCTGCCTGCCCCGAGGTGGTCCCTGCCAGGGGGAGCGCGAAGGTGAGTTGGGCAGAGTGAGAAAGGGGGCTGCAGCCTGCCATCCCCGCCTTCCTCTCCCGCAGCCTGCCCTAGGCCTGGCTGCAGTGCCAGGAGCCGGGGTGGCAGGAGACGTCCCAGGGCTGCAGAAAGGGAATGGGCGTTTGTCACGCACAGCATTAAGTCCACGTGCTCACCCCAGCGCTTTGCGGCTAAGGTCACCTGGGGAGGGACCCACCTGCCACACCATGCGCACAGCGGCAGGACCAGTGGGGTCTTCCTTCCATGACTTCTGCAGAGCCTCCCCGCTCTGGGCTTCTCCTCCAGCTCCTGCTGCTGCTGCCTTCTCTTCCTATTTTTAATTTATTTTTATTTATTTATTTGAAAGTCATAGTGATAGAGGGAGACAGATCATCTGTCCCCTGGTTCTCTCCCCAAGTGGCCACAAAGGCCAGGGTGGGGTCAGGCCAAAGCCGGGAGCCAAGACCTTCTTTGGGGTCTCCCACATGGATGGCAGGGCCCCAAGCACGTGGGCCATCTTCTGCTGCCCTTCCCAGGCCATCAGCAGGGAGCTGGATCGGAAGTGGAACAGCTGGGACTCTAACCAACGCCCATATGGGATGCCGGCACTGCAGGTGGCAGCTTGACCTGCTGTGCCCCAGCCCTGACCCCTGCCTTCTCTTCTTGGTGTGCTCCACCCACCCCCACCCCCAGCCCCCCCGTGCCTGCCCCATCTCCCTAGGGTACAAGCCCCTGTGAGGTCCTAGCAGAAAGCTTCCCTATATCCCAAATGTGGAAAGAGCGTCCCTGCGGAGGGCCAGGGAGAAGGACCCCTCCCCAGGTTCTCTGGAGCTCTGCCCAGCAGCAGCGTGCAGACAGCCAGGGCTCTAGAGGGCGACAAACCAGGTTCAGTCCTTGCTCTGCCTTCAGTGGCCGAGCAACCTTGGGCAAGTCACCTAGCCTCTCTGAGCCCTAGTTTACTCATCTGTTCAATGGGCATATGACCCACCTTGCAGAGAGGCTGCGAAGATAAAATGGGATACGATGCATGAAGGACCCCCTGGGTGGTTGTTCTATGCACAGACTGTTAGTCCCACCCTGGGGCACAGGGCCTGGAACAGATGAGGCAGATCAATGGCCCTGTAGCCTCAAAAACTCCCCTCGGGTGAGACCTCCTGCACTCTGGACCAGAAGGACATGGTCTTAGGCTCGGGCTGGTCACCTGCTGGCTGCCCCCTCTCAAAAAAAGGGTAAACTCTGGGACCAGGTAGAAGCCAGTGCCGCCCTAAATGAGATTTCCATCAAGGAGAGTAACTTCCATTCATCCTTTTGAGAAGCAGGCAAAGTAGCAGACGTCTGCGTGGGTGGGGAGTTGTGTCTGACCGGCCCAATGCGGGGCTCCGGCTGGTCTGGACGCAGTGATTGGATCTGAGGGGGCTGGAGGGCAAGGGAGAGGACCCCAGGTTCAACCTGGGCTTACTGCGTGAGTCAGCTTGTCATTACCTTAACTGAAATGCCAACCGATAGAAGACAGGGCTTGTGTCTGCTCTCAGTTTTGGAAGCCATAGTCCAAGATCGGGCAGCCCCATTATTTCATCTTTTATAAGCCCTGTTAAATCACTTGGAGACCAAGTCATTTGATGGACAGGTAGACAAACAGAAAGGACTAGTGCAAAAGAGGATCTTGGGTGGGAGCTGCAGCTCCTGAGACTTGTCTGCCTGGGCTGTCAGAGGGGCCAGTAAAAGCCAAGCACCTTCAGGCACGTGGGTCTTGGGTGCAGGTAAGCCTCCCCGAAGAGAGCAGGCATCAAGCCCAAGAAGGTAGGACCGGGTCCTTCTCCCTGCAGGTGGCAGCCACGCCCCTGCCAAAGCCTCAGTGGCACTCACGCAGGGTCTGTCTCTCCCTGCCCCCTCCCAGGATGAAGTGGCGGTGGAGACGCCCAGCCCCCAGCAGAACAAGATGGACAAGCTGACCGAGATTCTGAACAGCATGCGCAACAACAGCAGCGACGTGGACGCCAAGCTCACGTCCTTCATGGAGGAGGCGCAGAACTCCACCAACTCGGAGGAGATGCTGGGCGAGATCGTGCGGACCATCTACCAGAAGGCCGTGTCCGACCGCAGCTTCGCCTTCACGGCCGCCAAGCTCTGCGACAAGATGGCGCTGTTCATGGTGGAGGGGACCAAGTTCCGGAGCCTGCTCCTCAACATGCTCCAGGTAAGCGGGCCGTCGCCTGGAGAAGAGACTGCGGGGCTGGCCACAGCCGGCCCAGCCCCGCGCTCCTCCCTCGCCCGATTAATTATAGAAGAGGGAAGGGCGGTCCGTCGGGGGGCAAGGGCTGAGCGGCCGGCTTTGTGTGTGTTTGTGTGAGAGCTCCATGGTTACCGTGGACCAATATAATTTTATAGGGGCTTTTGGCTCAACCAGCCTCTTTCTATTTTCACGCAAAGAGGGCTGGCTCTCGGTCTGAATCTGGCTCCGAGCTTTGACCTCCCCGCGTCTGAGCCGCCGTGAACTTGCTGTGGACTTTCCTCCTCCTCCCCACCCGCCTCCTCCCCCTCCTCCTCCGAGCCCAGCCCCGTGGATCTCGGTGACTGTGCAGGTGGTTGTGGCCGGGATTGAGAAGGATTTGAGCAGAGGCACAGAGGAGGGGCGGGGAGGGTCTGCTGCTGACACCGTGGGGCGTCCGGGGCCGTCCAGGGTTGCCTTGCTCCTTGGTGCTTTCTTGTTCAGTATCCCTTCTCCCCCGAGAGCTCAGGTGTTCCTGCGCACTCGCTGGCCGGCCATGCTTTCACACCTGTGCGTGTGTAGTGGGTGTTGCTGTGCGCCCTAGGACTGAGCCCAGGACCCTTTCGTCTCATGAATACCTGCTGTTCTGCTGTGGGTGACAGCAGGTGGACGGGTGGCCACAGGGAGAGGTGGCAGAGGCCTGGTGTGGCTCCTGGAAGCCCGGGACTGTCCATGGAGACTCTGGGCTGGGGGAAGCCCTCTCTCCTCCTCACTTGTACTTGTAAGAACAGTTGAGATACAGATTGGGTTGCCAGTCCAGGTAAAGTCGAATGATCACTGGGAGCTGTGGCAGTAGGATTATGGAGTTCAGGAGGCACTCCCTAGCCCGCGCGTCTCTCTGAACCAGGGTAACCGTAGTAGGGCGGATCATCCAGACTGTCACCACCTGAGTCCAGCGGCTGCATCCACAGTGACGCTCAGAAAGCAGGTGCACTCGAGGGCCCGTGGCCGCCCTCATCTCGCCCACCTGGTTCATGGCCCGCCGTCTCTTCCCTGAGAGCAGGAGGGAATTGCTGCTGCCCCCCCACCCCCACCCCCACCCCCACCCCCGCCCTGCCAGTCCTCTCCCGCACTGCAACTTGAGCCTGCCTGGCCCGCCCCAGCCGCTTCTCTCCAGCTCCAGGCCCTGATCGGGTTCCCATTCCTGGATCGCGCACGCTCCCCTGGTGACGAATTCCCGCATTACCTGAGGGATTTGCACATTGGGCATGCTCCTGGCGGGCCGGAATGTCCTGGGAGAGTGGATGGTAACGGGCAGGGAGAGGCCTGTCCACCACGTACCTCCAGGCACGGGGGAGTTGGGGACATCAGCCTTTGGCCTTGGCTTCGAGATATTGTTTCTTCAGAGAAGGGCCAGGACGGGGCAAGAGTTTTAGACCACGGCTGCCAGCTCCACAGGTCCCCGCCGGCCCCCGTGGTGGACAGACACCTGGGGTGGGGGGCAGTCAAGGAGGCCAGCAGGCTATGGGGACGCTTCCTCCAATCACTGTGGTAAGAGCAGCCTTGCCCGCAGGTACCCCACGGCGCTCAGTCCTGAGCTGCTTGGCCTCTACACACCTCCCCACCAGCCCTAAAGCTCTCTGGCACCGGACAGGTGGCAGTGTCCCCGCAGGAAGGGAACTCATTGGACTGTGTTTAACTGAGTAATGTCCTTGCCGTACTCCCCGGCTAATCGGTTCCTGTGGGACCTGGGTGCCGAGAGCCACCACGCGGCCAACACAGGAGTAGGGTGTTTCCACAGAGAAAGCTGGGAGACAGGGGCTTAGACCGATTCCATCGTCAGTAGGAGCTTGGCCTCCGGGCGCCTTGCAGCTGAGCTGGGGCCTGGGGAGAGGCCCGAGTGAGCCTGTGTGAGCCGCTTCCATTCGCACTCACCCCACGTGTGAAGCAGGCCTGGGTTCTACTTGGCCTCCTCCGCCCATACTGCGGCTCAGTGGCAGCTCTGCCATGAGTGATCTGGGCTTTGGACCGGCCCCAGAGGCCCAGCCTTGCGGATGCCACCTTGTCTCCCGGGCAGGAGAGAGCTGGCACTGCCGTATCACGCCCCCTGTTCCCTCCCCTGCCCTCCAGCCAGGCTGAACCTGCCGCTGCCCCCTGGAAGGACAGACTCGCCCACCCTAGTCTGGAGCTCACTTCCCCTCCTCCCCTTTACCAGGGTGATGCATACTCCTGCTCCCCAGGACGCCTGCTGTGACCCCAACTCTGAGCTCCCGCAGCACCTGTCGCCACAAACGTTCAGTCACCCAGCTGGCGCTCACTGAGTGTCCACTGTGTGCCCGCGGCCACAGGCTGCGGACAGGAAACAGACACAGCTTTGTCTTTCAGGCGCTGGCAGTGAGGAGGGAACAGAACGTCACCCCCTGACCGCATGGTGTGGAGTGACACACTGGGGGACCTGCTGTCGCTGTCCCCTCCCCTGGGCTCTGGGGGGGCAGGAACCGCTCTGCTCTTTTCCTCGCTGTGTCCTGGTGGCTGCACAGTGCCCGGCACGGAAGGATCCTCAGTGATCACAGGTGGAAGGCTCTAGAAGCTGAGCTGCAGGCTAGCCTGGGGACAGCTACAGGGGCCAGGGCAAGGAGAGAGCCCCTAGCGCACACAGGGCTCCATTCTGAGGCTCCACGTGGCTGTACCCCCGTCCCACTCCTGTAGCAGAAGCAGGCCCTTTGCCAGGCTGGAGTAGTGTGGGTGTTCCCTGTAGGCTGTCACTCACCCCCTTCCCTGCCTGTAGCCCCGGCTTTCCTGTGAGCTGGGGAGGAGGGTCCTGAAGGGTGCAGCCATAGGTCCCAGTCTAGGCAACCAGGCCTCCAAGTCCCTGGCCCAGTCCCTCTGGCCACCGTGGGAGCACAGGCTGGGGGGAGGGGAGGCTGGTACGGGGCTGTTCCCAAGCCCTGCAGATGCCCTGATTACAAGGCCCAGAGGAAGGCACCAGTCCTGCCCCAGGCCTCATGGCTCCTGTCTGCAGCCAAGGGGGCGCCAGGCTAGAGCACTGCTCTCAGGACCACCTACCTCGTGGCCACTCACCACCCAAAGCCAGGAGGTCCCCAGAAAGAAAGGAGTGGGCAGGATCAGCGAGGCTGCTTTCCTCTGCAGCCCGCAGGGAAAGCCTTTGGCACAGGCTGTCGCTTCTGGCCAACCCCGTTTGCATCTCTTCCTGGCAGCCGATCCTGGGCCTGGCCTGTGGAGCCCTGCCCTCCCCTTCTTCCTGAGACTCATGCTCCATTCCATCCACCCAAGGCCTTCGGAGCTCCTGGGGCCCAGCCAGCCCCTGGTTCACTTCCACGGCCTGTGAGACGCCCCTCGTTTGGCCGCCATCTGCACGTCCATGCTCTGAGACCCGGCTCAGTGATGCTGGCTGCAAAGGGGCCGGGGTGTGAAGTGCCTGTGAGCACAGCTCCCAGCAGCTGTCTTTGGACGGTGCTCTCCCTGGCTGACTGCTCTTGCTGCCTGGGCTTCGCCTTGGCCGCTGACACCTGGGAGGACTGGGGGCCTTCCAAATGTGATAGACCCCCCTGTGGCAGAGGACCCAGGCTTCCTGCCAAGCTGGGTGCAGCCCCATGGGGTGAGAAGTGGAGGTGGAGGAGGTCAAAGGTCCTTTAACGCAGCCTGGCCATTTCAGGGACCCCGAAGCACTGCACCCGTGAGCCATGACAATGTTGGAGAAATTGGGGTCCCAGTGGACCCCATCACCAATCCCACAGCTCCGAAATAGTTTTCAGTTCTTACATCCAAACTGACTTCTTTTTTTTTTCTTCTTTTTGCCTTACATGTGGCCTTTTCTCTAGTATCCTTGTAAATAAAGCTCTGTTTATTCCAGACTCTTCTAAATGTCTGCTCCGTGCTCTGCATACAGTGTTCGCTAGACCAGTGGTTCCCCAACTGCTAAGTGCCTGTGAATCACAGGGACTTGGTTTCAAAGCAGAGTCCGATGTGGTGGGGCGGGGGAGGGGGACTCTGCATTTCAGGCAAGCTCCCAGTGGGGCAGGGCGTGCAGGGACCGCACTCTGGTGAGCCAGGGGTTGGAGGATGTCAGTGTCACGGTCAGGCACTGAAGTGGTCTCTCATCAGCGTGAGTGTCAGAAGGGCCCCACCCAGGGGTGTTGCATTTCAGACCCTGGTCTTCGTCAGGTCGGTCATCCCCGGCCACGTGCCCCTGCGACCCCATGGAGAGCTCTGAAAACGTAGCAGGGCGGCCGGGGGGGGGGGGGGGTGGTCCTCCCCCAGGACAACAGAATTCGATTCTCCAGGGACAGAGCTGGGCGTCCTGGTGAAAAGAAGTCCTTGGCAGCTCTTTTTAAACGTGTAGTTATTATGTATTCTTTTTGTTTCTTTAATCTGAAAGACGAAGATCTTCCATCTGCTGGTTCACTCTCCGAATACCTGCAATGGCCAGAGCTGCGCCAGGCCAAAGTCCAGAACCAGGAACTTCATCTGGGTCTCCCACCTGGGACAAAGGACCCAACCACTTGTGACCTCAGGTAGTTCTGAGGTGTAGCCAGGGCTGGGCACCTTTGTTAGGGAGACTCCCCAGAGACCCAGGGACTGCCCCGCCTTTGTCACTTGCAGATGAGCTGGTTCTGTTGTCACATGATGGACAGGGCAAGGAAGAACTGCCAGGGGCCCCTTGCTGACTGCTGCAACGCTTGGAGCCCGAGCTGGTGGTGGGGACGCACAAGCGGGCGAGCTCAGCTGCTGGGATGGCTCCTCTGCCTCCCCCTGCCTCGCTCCCCCTGGACCACCCCAGGGCCCCTTTCTCCTGCTCCCTCACCATCATCTGAGGCTCCTCCCACAGAGGTGAGCACGGCCTTTCCTTTTCCCCGTTTCCTTGTCCTTGGCTTCAGATCTGTGCCAGCTCACCCGGGTTGCCAGTCTGTCCCGGAGGCTGGGAAGGGAGTGAGCAGCCCAGCTGGCCTCCCCCACCCCTTCCCCCC